TGCTTTTCGGCGAACAGCCTCGGTTCGTGGGTTTTCGGCCAAGAACTTCCTTTAGACGACTCCAAGAAGCAGCTGGGGGTCTTTAGCAAGCAGCCCCGGGTTCGTGTGTGTATAGAAGCGAGTCGAGCGAAGCCGCCGAGCACCGCCGCTAGCCACCGCGAGCTCGCCCTCGCCTTTTCGTTTCGTTCGAACGTTTATTCCCGAGAACGGTACAAGGCTTGACCCGTCTCGTTAAATTTTATGTGATATTATATGTGTTCGATTGTGAACGTGTTTGGTTGACGTGTTATTCGAACCATATGTGTTAATATATGTTGATGAATTAATACTAGATAAGTGTATGTGAGAATGATAATGAATAATTGCAAAATGGATACCAAAGTGATTGCCGTCACTTTGAATTATTGTCGAGCTGAATGTAACGTGGTATTTTTCGTGGAAATCCTGGAGTTATAGGTACTTGGAGTTGTCCTTAATTGTTTAGTTTTGATTTGAAGTCGTTTCGAGTTGTATTTTGAGAGTTATGATTTTTCTAAACCGAGCATGCTGCTAAACTGTAATAAATTCACCATAAATCGAGTTGTTATCCATTTGAGCTGAATTTTTGATATGTTGTTCCTCTGTGTATGTGGAATATGTGTGCCAAGCCTCTGATTTTATCTCTGAGTTTTTGGTGTTCAAATGGTTAAAACGGTTTCTGAGCAGAAACTTGTAAAATTCATTAAAAATCGTACACTTGGAGTTTTGAGCTGAAACTTTCAGGAACATGTTATTTTGTGATGTGTTAGGTGGTGTAAAAATTTCAGATTGAAACTCGAAGTGTAGCTATGCGAACTATTGAATACTGATTTTGGCGTTGTTTTTGCTTAAATTATTTAAAAATGTTCCCGGATGAATTTAGGGCTGAAACTTGGTGAGTTTATGTGTTTTTGCATGTTTTATAATGTGGTGAAGTTTCAGATTGATTGGCTGAGCCTAACTCCAAATTCTGAATTTAGTATATTTTGGAGTCTAAATGTTCGGTTATCGGTCGTTTAGATTAGGATTGGATTTTATTAATTTTAGCATGTTTTATGTGTATTATTTGATCTATTTGAGTTGTGTCCAGGTCTGGTAATAACTCCATAGTACCTAACTCGGTCAAGGAATCCACGAGTCACTTGGTCGATATGTTTTCGGCTAAGTATATGTGCCTTGCGTGTTGTTTTGTATTGGACAGTCAGTGATAGGTCATTATTAATTGTTGTAGGTCCTTCGAGCTGAACTTGTGCCATAATTCCTTCAACTCTGTCTTTGGGTATACCTCTTGCAATATCCAGGTGGGTTTAATGTAAAATTTTCTATGCTGTAAATGTTATTACTGTTTTTAAATGTGGTATGATCAAAGTATGCATGTGAACCATGTAGCCTTCGATGTGAGCTGTACCGGCCGTCGAACGGTTATCCCCGTAGCTATAGAACGTACCCGTTGGGGTAATCTCCTCTTTACACCTGTAAGACCAGGGCTGTGCTCGGTCGGAGGTATGAGACCAGGGCTGTGCTCGGTCGGTTCCCCGTTGTGTGACCAGGGCGGTGCTCGGCCGACGGGGGATACTCCTACTGGCTGGACACTCGATGTAAGGCCGGAGGGCATTCGATATATAGTCGGCAGTAGTCTATTGCTATAGGTGTGCACACGAGTCTTGATTTTATGACGATCTTATGACGATATTATGACGATCTTATGACGATATTATGATGACAGGAGATTGGGATAATTAATTGATTCGTATACATGCTGAGACCATACCTTATTGATTATTGATTATTGTTTCATTATTGTGAATAATGTTTACTGCATAGTGGTGAGCACTACTTTTTCCAATTGTGCTCATCCCCACCTGAAATTCACGTTTCAGGTTAAGCGAGGCAGGTACGACGGCGGAGTTAAGCGAGTGGTGGTCGGTCTATGAGACTGGTCCTAATATTGTTTATGCTTCCGCATTTATGAATTTGGAATAATGTTGCTGTCATGAATTTTGGATTTTATGATTGAATAATGATAAGGAGATGCTCCTTAGAACTTATGAATATTATTGAAACCCAGTTTGGGTAATGACTTGTGCTTTTGGAAAAACCCGTTTGGGAGTTAGTAATTATTGATGATTGATGATTGATGATTAATGATTGATATTGATATTGACAATTGATTTAGTATTGAGAAATTTGATAAGTCTTGAAGTTTGACTTTTGAAAATGAGTAGCGCCTCAGGTGTTTGAAAATAAATTTGAAAATTTATTCTGATTTTCGGCAATAAAAAGTGGGGCGTTACAGTTTGGTATCAGAGCCAGTCTGCGTTTCTGTAGACTGGTATCTATGAATTATGTGAACTCTGAGGAATAATTGAGTACTATGTTATAGTTATGACCACTCGCTTCCGTCGTGCCTCGCCAGCTCAGGTATGGGATTAATGAATGAGTGTGAATGGATTATGATTGCTTGATTATTGAAATGAAATGATATGATATGAAAATCGGGGCTTAGGAATTTATCCTCCTACTTTTAAACGTTCTGGAACTCTAGATGAGTGGCGAACCTTAGCAGTATGAACTTGAACTCTAGCGTTATAGGGTTAAGTTCTAACTTGAGGTTTCGTTTGTTTAGAAATTCGATATAATGTTATCGAGCCGAGTTCTGTGTATAACAATCCTCTCGATGTGTTTTTGGTGTCCTCGGATGAGGACCATTCGCGAGCCATCTCGGAAGGAGAAGGCTTAAGCGAAGGGAGCAGCTTGAACCAATGATGAAAACAGTTAATCGTGGACTTGTGAAGACAAAGCAGTCGTGCTGCCTTTCTTAAATTCTTGTTTTCTTGTATACTCTTGCAAACCTTTTCCCCATTCACATGGCAACAATTTTGAAGTGTGCTTGAGGCTTCTTTTGTTATCCCATTTTCATATTTTAAGGATTTCGCTTGATCTTCCTCTACTCTTGATTCGCTGTGTAACTATTTTAAGCTTCCCAAATTTAAATTTGCTTCTCTTGAAGTTCAGCTAATTCTGGTTTATCTTATGTTGGGAATTGACTTTGTTTTGAAAAACCTGATTTCAAGTGAGATTAAGCATCCCTTTGTTTCTACTTCTTTTGCGAAGTATGAGAGTTTCGTTCGAATGCCATCGCTAAAATATCACGAAGACTCGAGGGCAAAAAAAAAAAAAATATTCTATCGCCACTTTTGTGAATAACCTAACCTCGAGGGGGACGATAATTATTCACACTCGGCATCGAGATAAACGCTCAGGAGCTGAAGCCAGCACAATTCGGTTCGATAAGAGGATGGAGTGTTTTCCACCTTAAAGGGGTAAGTAGAAGCCTTTTAAGGAGGATAGACGAATCAGTCAAGCACATCGCGTAGTGCAGACCCGTCTTTTTTTCTAAATCTTGTTCTTTTGGAAACCTAGACCAACCCCGACCCTGGCTTGGAGTAACCACGCGGAGTGGTGGCCGAGCACGCACGACCGTGCTGAGAGACGTAAGGCTTGCGCGCGGCTGACCGTTTACTCGCATGAGAACTGCAGCCGTCATCACGGGTTTGTGATGAAATCGTGAACAAGTTGTCAGTGTGACTCGGACACGAGACTGAAACTTGGCTTCACGTGACCACCTTGATGGTGAGATAGTCGGAGTACGCTGACAATACACCGAACGACCTGTTGGGGTCTTGTGTGCTGTTAGGTACGAATCAAGTTGTTGATACTCATGAGTATAGGCTAAACCGAACTGGTTTCCTTGCAAGAAGATGTACACCTGAGCTCGGGCAGGACTGATCACCCTCCCAAGCAAGAAGGTAAACATATGAGCATAGGACGAGTCGGATTGGTTCCTGTAAGTGAGTACATGCCTTTCTGAGTAAAGAGCGATAGGACTCATGGGAACAGAAACGAGTTCAGGAGGGTGATGCCCGGACCTCGTGATTGGAAATTCCGGATCGAGTCTATCGTTTTCTTTTAGATGCGTGTTTCTTTTGCATTTCCGAGGACGGAAATATTTTAAGGAGGATAGATTGTAATGCCCCGTTTGATTATGAAATTTTGGGAATTATTAATTGTTATTATTATTATTATTTATATTTAGTTGTTGTTATTATTATTATTATTATTATTAATTGAATGTTAAAAATTATTAAATGTCTAATATGATGTATGTCAATTTGCGATTAAATGTCTAATTGTCTAAATGTTATTATTTAATTAAAATGTGTAATTGTATTTTTATTAATACTAATATTATTATTTTCTTAAAATTTGAATTGTGTGTATTATCAATATATATTATATATTTAGTTTATTTATTTATTGTGCGATTTAATTTTCGAGCCGATCTGATTTAATTTATCGAGCACGGGTTAGAACTGTATTATTTCTACGCAGTCGGGCCCGAGAGCCGATTTGTTTCATTGAACCGAAATCGCGAGCCAGATAATTCGGCCCAAGCCCGAGCCCAACCAATTTGGCCCGTGAGTGTGTGAATATGTCTTGTGGGTCAAGAGAATAACCCTAAGATTTATATTGTACTCATTCGTTCCCTCAAATTCAATGGAAAACCGCAGCCTTCTTTTTTTTCTTTGACTTCGTCTCCTCTCCAAAAATCTGTCTGTCATCATCGTCTTCGCCAAACCATCACCATCCACACCTCAGTTCCGATCACCCTCCGCTATCTCTGTCGCCAAGAACCAGATCCGCCAGCGACCCCTGCGCGAATTTCCGCCGGCGACGGGCAGCCCACCTCCACCGCGATCTGCAAGCTTCTCTCCGCCGCGGCCTCCGCCTGCAACCGTCGCAACCCTCCATCTTCCTCGTGATGTCGTCACCGTGAGACGCCGCTACCAGCACCATCGACAGCCGTGTCCGCCATCATCCTACGGGAGCTTTAACCGCAGCAACCCGTCACCTCCCTCTGCTCGTTTTTCCGGAAACCTACAGCCTTAGCGCCGCCACCCAACGGCCTTTGGTTGTCGTCGATGTCCACAAGGAGCAGTAGCTGTGACCCGACCACGTCCTGCGAGCAATACCGCCGACGAACAAGACGAGATGACTTCTCGTCGACGACCCTTGCAAGCAGCAGCGGCAATCGTTCCTTCCTCTCCATCGCCGATGAACTTCGAGTGACAGTAACAACCCTCTTTCAGTCCGCACACGTCGAGAAGTTCTTGTAAACGAGCCCTGTTCGAATTTCAGATTCTATCAAAACTTTCATCGCGAGTTGCAGCAGGCGGCACACCCGTCGGCTTATTTTCCGAGCAGCGGCACCCCGTCGTCCTTCGTTTGGTGGCCCGAACAACAGAGGGAGCCCTTTCGGGCCCGTACGAGTATAACGGAAGACGTTCGAGGTTTTTATTGAGCAGCAGGAGACCTCGAAGCGGCGGTAAATCGGCTTGCTTTTCGGCGAACAGCCTCGGTTCGTGGGTTTTCGGCCAAGAACTTCCTTTAGACGACTCCAAGAAGCAGCTGGGGGTCTTTAGCAAGCAGCCCCGGGTTCGTGTGTGTATAGAAGCGAGTCGAGCGAAGCCGCCGAGCACCGCCGCTAGCCACCGCGAGCTCGCCCTCGCCTTTTCGTTTCGTTCGAACGTTTATTCCCGAGAACGGTACAAGGCTTGACCCGTCTCGTTAAATTTTATGTGATATTATATGTGTTCGATTGTGAACGTGTTTGGTTGACGTGTTATTCGAACCATATGTGTTAATATATGTTGATGAATTAATACTAGATAAGTGTATGTGAGAATGATAATGAATAATTGCAAAATGGATACCAAAGTGATTGCCGTCACTTTGAATTATTGTCGAGCTGAATGTAACGTGGTATTTTTCGTGGAAATCCTGGAGTTATAGGTACTTGGAGTTGTCCTTAATTGTTTAGTTTTGATTTGAAGTCGTTTCGAGTTGTATTTTGAGAGTTATGATTTTTCTAAACCGAGCATGCTGCTAAACTGTAATAAATTCACCATAAATCGAGTTGTTATCCATTTGAGCTGAATTTTTGATATGTTGTTCCTCTGTGTATGTGGAATATGTGTGCCAAGCCTCTGATTTTATCTCTGAGTTTTTGGTGTTCAAATGGTTAAAACGGTTTCTGAGCAGAAACTTGTAAAATTCATTAAAAATCGTACACTTGGAGTTTTGAGCTGAAACTTTCAGGAACATGTTATTTTTTGATGTGTTAGGTGGTGTAAAAATTTTAGATTGAAACTCGAAGTGTAGCTATGCGAACTATTGAATACTGATTTTGGCGTTGTTTTTGCTTAAATTATTTAAAAATGTTCCCGGATGAATTTATGGCTGAAACTTGGTGAGTTTATGTGTTTTTGCATGTTTTATAATGTGGTGAAGTTTCAGATTGATTGGCTGAGCCTAACTCCAAATTCTGAATTTAGTTTATTTTGGAGTCTAAATGTTCGGTTATCGGTCGTTTAGATTAGGATTGGATTTTATTAATTTTAGCATGTTTTATGTGTATTATTTGATCTATTTGAGTTGTGTCCAGGTCTGGTGATAACTCCATAGTACCTAACTCGGTCAAGGAATCCACGAGTCACTTGGTCGATATGATTTCGGCTAAGTATATGTGCCTTGCGTGTTGTTTTGTATTGGACAGTCAGTGATAGGTCATTATTAACTGTTGTAGGTCCTTCGAGCTGAACTTGTGCCATGATTCCTTCAACTCTGTCTTTGGGTATACCTCTTGCAATATCCAGGTGGGTTTAATGTAAAATTTTCTATACTGTAAATGTTAATTACTGTTTTTAAATGTGGTATGATCAAAGTATGCATGTGAACCATGTAGCTTTCGATGTGAGCTGTACCGGCCGTCGAACGGTTATCCCCGTAGCTATAGAACGTACCCGTTGGGGTAATCTCCTCTTTACACCTGTAAGACCAGGGCTGTGCTCGGTCGGAGGTATGAGACCAGGGCTGTGCTCGGTCGGTTCCCCGTTGTGTGACCAGGGCGGTGCTCGGCCGACGGGGGAATACTCCTACTGGCTGGACACTCGATGTAAGGCCGGAGGGCATTCGATATATAGTCGGCAGTAGTCTATTGCTATAGGTGTGCACACGAGTCTTGATTTTATGACGATCTTATGACGATATTATGACGATCTTATGACGATATTATGATGACAGGAGATTGGGATAATTAATTGATTCGTATACATGCTGAGACCATACCTTATTGATTATTGATTATTGTTTCATTATTGTGAATAATGTTTACTGCATAGTGGTGAGCACTACTTTTTCCAATTGTGCTCATCCCCACCTGAAATTCACGTTTCAGGTTAAGCGAGGCAGGTACGACGGCGGAGTTAAGCGAGTGGTGGTCGGTCTATGAGACTGGTCCTAATATTGTTTATGCTTCCGCATTTATGAATTTGGAATAATGTTGCTGTCATGAATTTTGGATTTTATGATTGAATAATGATAAGGAGATGCTCCTTAGAACTTATGAATATTATTGAAACCCAGTTTGGGTAATGACTTGTGCTTTTGGAAAAACCCGTTTGGGAGTTAGTAATTATTGATGATTGATGATTGATGATTAATGATTGATATTGATATTGACAATTGATTTAGTATTGAGAAATTTGATAAGTCTTGAAGTTTGACTTTTGAAAATGAGTAGCGCCTCAGGTGTTTGAAAATAAATTTGAAAATTTATTCTGATTTTCGGCAATAAAAAGTGGGGCGTTACAACTGGGCTCTTTGAGTCTGGTAATTGGAATGAGTATAATCTAAATCCCTTAATGAGGATCAATTGGAGGGCAAGTCTGGTGCCAGCAGCCGCGGTAATTCCAGCTCCAATAGCATATATTTAAGTTGTTGCAGTTAAAAAGCTCGTAGTTGGACCTTGGGTTGGGTCGGCCGGTCCGCCTCGCGGTGTGCACCGATCGTCTCGTCCCTTCTGCCGACGATGCGCTCCTGGTCTTAACTGGCCGGGTCGTGTCTCCGGCGCTGTTACTTTGAAGAAATTAGAGTGCTCAAAGCAAGCCTACGCTCTGTATACATTAGCATGGGATAACATTATAGGATTTCGGTCCTATTACGTTGCCCTTCGGGATCGGAGTAATGATTAAGAGGGACAGTCGGGGGCATTCGTATTTCATAGTCAGAGGTGAAATTCTTGGATTTATGAAAAACG